GAAATTATAATATTTATTTAAAATATTTTGAACCAAGCTTAACTTAGCATCTGCACTGAAATGATGTAATTTGAAAATAAAAAGCAGGTTATCAACTTTCGCATCACTTGACAAGTGATGAATGACATATTGACGGATTCTATGAGGCTAATTTGTTCTACAGAAGGAGAAAAGTGAAATAATTTACATTTAAGTGAACAAATTATTTACCTCATGATTTTTAAGGAAAAACTTTCAGCGTTCTAAATTTTTTTTTTTTTTTTTTTTTTTTTTTTTTTTTTTACTTAGCTTTCACCTTTACGTTTAAGATCATATAAATTTCATAAGGTGATACTGATACTTGTAGGTACTCTTCTCAGTTGAAATTGAAAAATCAAATTAACTTTTCCACACTTGTTTCACAAAAGTAAAGGCCTTAACAGCGGAGAACAATGCTTAACTCAAATAATGCAACTTAATTGCATTCTGGTTGGTCTTCCGTACTTTATAATTACAGCCTGATTATAAACACAAAAAAAAAATGATTTGCATTCCTCAAAGCCTTGTGCTTTTAACTATTGTAATCACTAAACCCAATGTGATCAAATTTCTAGCGTTTTCATAAAATTAGTTGGGGGAGGGGTAATAAATATAAAAAAAAAATATTTTTGCAAGATTTTCCAAATTAATGTGTGTCATACCAAAAAAAACGTGCTAAAAATTGTCTGTTATTTTACTAGTTGTAGTGATACAAAGAGAAACAAGGTTTTTTTTTAATCAAAATTTAGAATGTTCTAAAAAGAAGGAAAATTTTTTAAATATAATTAAAAAAAAAAAAACTTTGGTCTTTCTTAAGCATTTAGACTATAAAATTTTGTTTTCAGCAAGGTTGGCAAGGTTTTTTTTTTTTTTCATGGAGGTATCTAATTTTAAGAAATACACCATGAATTTTCAGATTTAGTCTTTTGTTTTATATATATATATATATATTTATACACACACACACACACACATATATATTATTTATTATTCACACACACACACATATATATATATATATATATATATATATATATATATTTATATTTATATACTTTTCACACACACACACATATATATATATATATATTATATATATTTTATACACACACACACACACACACACACACATATATATATATATATATATATATATACACACACATACATACAGTAGCGGTTATAATATAAGGAACGGAAACAACAGACATAAATATATGTATTACTTAAACACTAATGCATGATTAGCAATTAAATTTTTACCAAATAAAGATTAGGATGTAATGCATAAATGTTATACAAAGTTACAAAAATTTACATAATAGTTTTTTTAAATAAAGATTAAATGGAACAAAGGAAATAAGCTATTGGAAAGAAGTTAAGGAACGATGTTAATAATTTGCATAAACTTTTAATTTACATTGTTAAAAAACTTGGAGCTTTTCAACAACAAGTAAAAGTTCATTTATCATTAGGAAATTATTTTTTTAAACAATATCGCAAATTCTACACACAAAACGCTCTTTTGAAGAAAAAAAAACTCATTATCACTATCAAGAAAAAAAGTCAATTTCAGAAATTTCTTATATTGTTCATAGGTCTAAAAGTGTCATTCATCATGTAAGTAGCAGGTATAAATCCGATAAAACGTTAGATGCAAAACCAAAAACTGGCAGACCTCCAAAAACATCACAAAGAGAAGATCGAAGAATTGTTAGAATATCTATAAAAAAACGTTTTGAAACTGCTACATCAATTGCCCGTAAATTTAATGAAGAGACAGATAAGATCTCAAGGAAAACGGTTGCATGCCCATATTCCAGCTTCAAAGCCTCTCATTTCAAAGCGAAACCAAAGGGCACGCCTGGAGTATGCAAGAGAACATGTTGTTTGGACTGACGCACAATGGGATACAGTTCATTTCAGTGATTAGTCCAAGTTTACTATATTTGGTTCTGAGGGCAAAACTTACGTACACCGTAGAACAGGTGAAAGACTGTCTTCTCAATGTGTCAAGAAAACCATTAAGTTTGGTGGTGGCAGTGTGATGGTGTGGAGAATGATTTCATCTGAAGGAGTTGGCCCTATCATCCGCGTACATGGCAATATCAATGCTGAGATTTACAAAAGGCTTCTTCAGCAGCGTGTGGTAGCAAGATTACACCATAATCTTTATGGATCTCCTATTTTCATGCAGGACAATGCACCTTGCCACAAGGCTCAGAAGGTTATGGCTTTATTTGAAGAAGGAATCGCCCTAATGAAGTGGCCAGCCCAGAGCCCCGACCTGAATCCAATAGAAAATGTTTGGAAGATAATTGGAGAAAGGGCTCAGAAAAGAAACCCGAAAAACCAGGATCACCTATGGGAGTTATTGAAAGAGAATGGGAGGGAATTACTGCTGATTTTTGCAAGAAATTAATTAGATCATGTGGTCAACGATGCAGAGAAGCCATTGAAAATAAGGGGATGTTTACCAAATATTAAATTTTGTTGATATTTTGTTCTCAATCAAGTATTAACAAGATTGTCCCTTAACTTTTGTCCAGTAGCTTATTTCCTTTGTTCCATTTAATCTTTATTTAAAAAAAAAAAAAAACTATTATGTAAATTTTTGTAACTTTGTATAATATTTATGCATTACACCCTAATCTTTTATTCGGTAAAAATTTAATTGCTAATCATGCATTACTTTTTAAGTAATACACATATTTGTTGTTTTGTTTTCTATTATATATATATATATATATATATATATATATATATATATATATATATATATATATATATACACACACACACAGATACATATATATGTATGTATAACCCTTGGTTACAAAAGTCCCAAATGATGATGATTTGTGGTTACGATGCAATCTTCATTAATCTTGTTTCGATATGCTGTTTGCCTTGTACAAATGACAGTACACGCTCTTCACCACTGACCTTGGTTTGTTGTGGGTTTTATCTACTCTAAAACATGTACATGTGTATATACATATTTAGTTTACCTGTAAGAGATAAGGACGTTTTCTTGTTAAACTATAAGTTGGTGAATTCCTGATAAAAAAGAAAAACAAACTTATGTTTGTTTTTCTTTCTTCCCCAGATTTGCTGCTGCTTCCAAGTACAGCAAGAGAGACACAAGATCTTACACTTCGTCATCTCATCTACTGAGTGCCAATGGCATCACTGGCAATAAATATACAAGCAGCTTAAGACAATTTCATATGTATTTTCATTTCGTTATGTGTATTATATTTGTCATTCATGTTTTTTTTTGTTTTTTTTTTTATTCTTATGTTATATGTCAGAGAAATGTGTTATGTCCTAGATTATTTCTTTACTGTTGCATTAGCCTAGGGGTATGACATAAGTGCTTATTTATGAAAAATCACACAGGTACGTTCTGACTCCCACAGAAGTGGGAACACTGTCAAGAGGTCAAGGAGCCCCCCACCACCACCACCACTACACATAGGGTGGGATGGGTAAATTGTTGCCATTTTATATTTTTAATTTTATGCATCATGTTGTTTGTTTTTTATTTTGTCAACTGCACAGTATAGTAGGGTCATTTGGGCACCATCTGAGGAAAAGAGCACCATGATGCAATTCAGTCCACCAGAAATTTGGAAACTGCATGCTGTGCTGCTTGGCATTCATGCTGAAAGCTTCAATACAAACATTTCAGAGTGTTTGGGTGTCAATCTCTAGACTAGTGCAGAGGATTCGGAAAGAGTTGGATGAGTCTAATGGTGATTATAATTGTGCTTGGGGTGATCACTAGTGATAGCGATGTTATGCCTTTAGCCTTCTTCCCACAGGGACTCACATTCAACATGGAGGCCTACATCAAGTGCCTTGAAGAGGTAGTGCAACCCTGGGTCAAGAGGGTGGCTGCTGGAAGACCCTATATCTGCACCATGACACACAAACAAGGGAACCCAGTCATGGCTATCAGACAATCTCTGCAACCATTCACAAACTTAAATAAGCAGACTGTCCAGAAGAGTTGCACGAGATCTCAAAGTTATCTGGAGGCTATGGCTGAATATTTTTTTTTCTTTTCTCCTCCTCTCTCTCTCTCTCTCTCTCTTAGTATTTCAAGATATTTTTGTGTAATATATCTGTTAAAATGAGATGTCGGTGTTAATTTCATTTTTGCGTAATTTAGACAATTTGTCCATTGCACTGTGTGTGTATATATATATATATATATATATATATATATATATGCTTAGATAATACAAGGACAGACTTGTTCAACAATAGCTACTTGTTACGAGAGTCTAATTTTCATTCTCTGTTAATACAAAGAATGCATATAAGCAAATAAAATTATCCTGTACATGTTATGTATGTTTGTTTTTAAATAATTTTACATCTAAAATAAAATAATTTTTACATCTAAAATAAAAACTACCTTCATGACAGAGAATGTTGCTTGGTTCTGTTTCACTGCAAAAGTGAAAGCTCCTTTACATTTTATGAGAAAAAAAACAAGAATATGAAGAGAATGTTTTCTGTTTAACCTGCTTCCCAAAAGTGACCAAATATTTTCTTTTTAAGGGTTTTTGAGTTGTGCTGAGAATATTTAAGAACCTATTCATATAAAGTCTTTTAAAAAAATAAAAAATAAAAACAAGTTGGTCTCATAAAGAATAAAAGAAATCAGACATTAAATATCTTAATTTTTCTATTCATCACTCTTCTTTCTTCTTTGCTACCAGGCTGTATGCAAGAGTTAAAATAAAATAGATCATTAAGCAATTTGTAGAGGAGTGAGGTGCTTAGCACACGCACCCAAATCTTTGGTAGTTTTGGCTTATCAAACAAATAGCTCGTTTTTGTTAAATGAAAAGGATGACTAGATAAAACCCCTTAAATCATCAGGTGTTTTATCTGTCATTTCAAAAATTATTTATATGCTTTTAAAATCTGCTAAAAGATTAATTTTATTAATTTTTTTCTTCCTACAGCACATTCCTATACCTGAAATTTCTTGTAGTTTGGGCGCTGGTTATAATGGCTGACTTCATTTTGGAATTTCGGTTTGAGTACCTGTGGCCATTTTGGTTGTTGCTGAGAAGCGTATATGATTCCTTCAAATACCAAGGCCTGGTAAGTAAATTCAAGATTAACTAAAACTTCTTATATTTCAGTAATATAGGCACTTTATTCATTGTTCTGTGTATGCTCATCACTGAAACATTTTTATATTCTGTACCATTGCCAGTGCTAGAGAATACTTTAGGTCATTTTATTTGATTCTTATTTGATTTTGAAATTCTTACTACAATTTTATGACTGACTTCAGCTTTATTTAGGCGTTAAAAGAATACATCTAATATTATCAATATTATGATCTGATCAATTGTAATGTGCTGTGAAATTTATATTGTTTTTTGTTCTTTCATCAGTCTACTAAAATATATAATTGCCTAAACCCTTTCTTTCTCCAACATTCACGGTATTCATACCAACTTCTGCAGTGTAGAATCGTTCCTCTTCAAACATCCTCTTCTTAGAAGGACTCTTGTGTCTGCATGCATGGCCTGGGAGTTTGTTTGGAAACTCTCTCTTGAGTCTCCAAACCATTCTTACATGTGCCTCTGTCTTTCTCTACTAAGCTTAGTCAGCTATTTCTTGTTCCCCTTCCTCTCATGACTGTTGTGTGTTAGATAGTATTTTTGATAATATAGATAAGGCCATCTCTCTACACCTGTTTGCAAATATCTTTGTGTTTGGTGACTTCAATGCCTACCATGCCAGATGGCTTAATCACTCTTTCACTGACCTTACTGACATCCAAACCCAGAACTTCTCAACCTCTCACACAAGTGGTGAACTTCCTCATGTGTTTCCCCAGTAATCCTGATGGACACACTTCTCTTCTTGATCTCTTTAACTCTACCCCTGACTCGTGTCATATTTTGCAGCTCTGCCCTGTTGGCAACTCCAATCATGCAGTAGTGTCTTTAAACATCTCTTTTTGCTCTCACATCTGCCAAGAACCTCCTACCAACATAATCTTTCTGTTATCAACATGCTCATTGGGACTCATTCCATGACTTTCTTTGTCATGTCCCTTGGGGTGAAGTTTTTAATCATTCTATTCAAAAATGTGCCTCTGAGGTCTCTTCTTGGGTGAAAGCTGACATTGAAGCTTTCATTCCGGTGTAGAAATACCAATTGAAACCACAACCATCTCCTTGGTTCTCACTGAATACTTGGCTGCTATGGCCCACAGGAATCACTTCTGGCTGTACCAGAACAACAGGTCTGATGATTGCAACAGATGTCTCTTTGTCTCTGCTTTTAATAAATGCAAGTGCATCCTCAAAGAAACGGTCACTGTTTGCTGATAGAATGAAATGATGTATAGCCTCTCACAAGTTCAGTTATAGAGATTATTGGTGGCTCTGTAAGAGTGTGCTAAACAACAATAAATCCTCAATCCCTCCTCTCTTCAATCAATTTGTAGTTTAAGCACATTTTCATGTAAATGTATCTACAATAGTTTCTAATCTTTTTTAATGCATGCACTTATTTGACTCATAATTAAATACTAGTGCCATTTTCAGAAACCAGTTTGTAGTTTTCACTCATAAGGATTTCTTGAAAGTTTGGGTATCTATACTTTAAAGATTTTGTTTTTTTAAATTGTGTATATGAGAAAATGTTTTGGTTAGAATATATGCACTTGTTTTGTATTTAGCGGAGTATTAATTCTAGATAAATTATTTATAAGTATTTGTGAATAATGTAATAGTTATCAGTGAGAAAATGATATTAGCAAACATTCCAGACAAATTTTTTTATGTATTTAGTATTAATACCCATGAGAAAATATAGATCAACCTTTACTCTTCCTACCTATGGGTTAAATAATGGAGCAGAATGGGTTCTCTAGCCTTAGATGTATAAAAGGAGAAAAACTGAATTCAAAGCAATTAAACATATTGATGTTGATTAGAAATTGGTGAGCTTACACTAAACTTCTCACAGTAGACCCAGGAGGTGGTAATTTGGGCTAAAATGACTATTAAAAAAAATGTACAAAGTTATATTTTATGGAAGCTAGATAAAATTTCTGAATCAGTGCCAAAAAGTAGCTCAATTTCTTGTCTCTTGGCAATTTCAATGTCATGAATTTACAAAAATTTAGATTAAATTTAATGAAAATCTGTATTTTTAGGAAATGGCCAGTAAAATGCAATCTCAAATCCTTGTGCCTAAATTTTATTTTCTGTATTATGTATATCACATAGACACATAAAAACCTTATTTGAACACATTTTACACCCACACTGACTCATACTGGGCCCTAGAAGGACCATCCAGGGGTCAAAGATGACAATATTTTATGAAAAATTCAGCTGAAAATTGCACTTCTTCCTCAAATTACACCAGAAATATGGCCTCCAAACATGGGTAAAGTATTTATTTTCTGATCCCTGAACATATTTCTCACGTGAATCAATTTGAAATGGTGCCAACAAAACCAAAATTGGAAAGAGAAACAGCATGGGGTCAGATTTCAAAATTTTCAGAATTTTAAACACTTTTCCAATTTGGAGCTTTGATCTTTGCAAGGTAGTTGAGTTTCATGAATCAAAATTATTTGATCATATCTGTCAATGTAGACATATAAAAACCTTATTTGAACATTTTTCAACTGCATGCTAACCCATAATCGATCCTAGAAGGACCTTTCAGGCTTCAAAAATGGCAATATTTTAGGGAAAATTCAACAAATGACACTAGAAAGATGGCTTCCAGACATGGGTAAAGTATATATTTTCTGATTCCTGAACATATTTCCTACATGAATCAACAATTGAAATAGTACCAACAAATCTGAAACTGGAACAAAGTTGACAGAAGCAAAAAGGAAAAAAGAAACAGTTGAGGTCCGATTTCAAAATTTTCAAAAATTTAGACAATTTCCCGATTTGGATCAATGATCTTTTCAAGGTTGGTCAAAAATTTCATGAAGTAAGTTTATTTGAGATATATATATATATATATATATATATATATATATATATATATATGCAAAAAAATGTTATTTGAACACATTTCAGCCACTTGCTGATGTATGGACCCTAGAAGGACCTTCCGGGAGTCAAAAAATGGCAATATATGACTGAACATTACACTTATCAAATCAGAACATATATCATCAAATTGCTATGCAAGGAAAAAATCCTCTAGTTCATCTATCTTAAAGTAATAAGCATCATGAGTTTGAACTGTATGATCTGTTGCTTTGCAAATTGTACACAATTTTGTCCCAATGTATTTTGATGTGACATGAAGATAGGAGTTGGATCTCTCTAACAATCTATGGTGAACAGCTTTAATTTGATTGTTGTATTTGTATGCCATGTGTGATACATGCTTAGGCAATCATGTATCTTTCAATACATGACTGATGAGGCAGATTTCTTCCCACAGTAGGTTGCCATTTCTTTTTGCGGTAGACCAGTTGCCATCCAAGGAGGTAGAACCCAGTCTGTTCTGCCAGTTACCCATAGCTGGGAGGGGGGAGAGAAGAGGATTCATACCCTTTCCTAAGGGGTAAATGCATGTAAGTGAATGTAATGGATTCAACTTGAATTCGAACTCAGTTCTCTGATTCTTCAATCTGAGCCGCTATCCATTACTCCACCATGCCTACTGAGACATTCCAGATAGTTACGAATATCTTTATTGTTCACTCCTAAGCCTTCTTCAAAATATCCCAAGCCTCTAAGGTACCCCAAGCTTTCCCCCACCATTCATTTCAATCAATTTGGCACTATGCTGTATGGTCCCCTGCAATGTGTGGTTCAGCAAAGCTCATGGCAAGTTGTTGGCAATGTTAAGCATTGTTTCTTTGCAGTGCTGATCAAACAGCGTTGATCTTTCTGTTACACAAAATTATCCGGAGAATAATGCTCAACTGTTTGTGCAGTTTTAACATTGATTCTTTGTGTTTTTGCTGTGATTCTTACTGAGCAGCTTGGTGGTAATAGTAATCTACTCGTCAGAATAGAATCAATGAGCTTGTTTTCCATCAGTTGACATACCACCTTTACCTCCTGTAATCTAAATGCAGATCAGTTTTTAGTTTGAAGTCCCTCACATCAAGGCGGTTGCATAAACCAGCCTCTTCAACCCATTTCTTATAGTCTGCATGATAACAATACAACATTTTCAAATGCCACGTTGTTCCATTTATGTAGGAGTGGGTAATAGTTATGCAATACTGTCAGAATTGGAAAGTGGTTGTTGAGTGACACCAGCTCTGGTTCCAAAGTCTCCTGGTTTAATACAGATGTTTCTATCTACAGCGAGGACTTCATTGAATATGTTCTGCATATCTGAAGCCCACTGTTGATTTTGAAGCCATCTTGTTTTTTTGTTTGGGTCCATGCAATCTTTGACCCAAGACTTACACAATATACAATCTGCACCTTCTAGACCAGAAATCAATTTTTTGAACTTAGTCTTTTCATAGTCTTTGATTACACATGATACTAAAATTGTCATCACCAACATTAATTGATAAACCATTTGTATTTAAATCATTCCAAGCATTATCAATTTCTTTGACCATGAAGTTGAGGAGGTCAAGATTACTTTCTACTTCTCTAATCAAATACACAGGTCTCCCTGATCATGCAGAATTTGGTACTTTGTTCTGCCATAAAATCTCTTCTTTGCTATTAACCATTCTATGTAAGTTTCAGAGGAATGATATCATACTGAAATATGTGGTCTGAAATTTTTCAATTTTCTTTATTTCATCCAATTTGACTTGCTTATACTTATCTAAAAAGCCCTGAATGGCCTTTCTATTGTCAGCAAAAGCAAAAATTAGAGCAATTTTTGTGTTTTGGGGCTGTAATGTCCAAGGACTGAAATCCGGTTTCAGATCCTCCCTCTCCCCCAATATGGAAAAAAAAAAAAAAAAATGATTTTTTTCATATAAAAAATTCAATTTTGTTGATTTCACTGATATTTTGTTGCCCATACCTTTCTAGAAAGCCCTTGATGGCCTTTCTATCTTCAACCAAACCGAAATTTGAGCAATTTTTGTGTTTTGGGACTGTTATGCCTAAATATAGGGATCAGGTTCCAGAATACCCAAAATATGAAAAAATTTGACTTTCTTGATTTCACTGAATTCATGTTGCCCATACACTTCCAACAAGACCTCATACAACATTGTACCATGAATATTTCTCATTATTCCCAAATTATCAAATATTGCCACTCTGGGCCCAATGTGCTTCTGTTGCTGGATATGTCTCCATTATGAGAAATTATGATTCTACCAAAAGGGCCCTGGCACACTGTTCATTTTTTAAATCTTATATATATTTACAATTTAGAAACTGAAATTATGGTTATTGTCCCTTAATCTGGTTATATTTTTTCTATTGTTGTTGCATGTTTAGACCTGACATTTGAATCATAAACTTTACATCTCTATCCATAATGATTTAAGAGATAGTCTATTGTTGTTCCATTACAAAATTTTAACACTATACTTTTACTTTTAAAAATAAAAATTTTTTAATTCTTTAACGCACTTTTAAGTACAATTTCAGCTTTGATTTCAAAGTTTTCAAATGTGCGTAGTGTATACTGAATTTTCTGTAAATTTTAATGGAAAATGTCAACTTACAAAATATATTTTTACTAATTAGATACATTCTCTTTGGATGCTCCAATTAAACAGCAATAATTCATGACTGAACTCTTCAAAACATGAAGAGAAAACAAGAAGAATGTTTGATTTTTTGCACCTTGTATTATGTTTTGTAATGACAGAAAATTAATATTATATTCCATTTCCATATTTCCTTTTCCAGGCATTTTCAGTATTTTTTGTTTGTATAGCCATCACATCAGATGTCATCTGTTACCTTTTCATACCAGTCCAGTGGCTTTTCTTTGCAGCCAGCACTTATGTCTGGGTACATTATGTTTGGCACACTGGTAAGTAATAGCAATAGATTTCCAGTTATGATACATTGTTGGGAATTATGTTGTTCCTTTGATTTTTCTTTCTCCTTAAAGTGGAACTTTCAAATTTTCATGTTGAATATATTTTTAAATAACCTGTAATTCTTAATCTTATCAAATTGTTGCAACCCTATTTGGTATTCATTAAGAAAATAATTATTTTAAACCTAATTTTTAGGTCTTTACTGACATTGAGATTCAGCATAATCTTTGAAATAATGATTTGATTATTTAGTAAGTTTTACTCAGTCTTGATAAAACTTACATTTTCAAGTAAGCAACACACACACACACACACACACACACTTTCCCAATGCAGAAAACATCTGAATTATCCCACGGCTTCCCATAAATCTAGAAACTTGATTTGAAGATTTTTTTTTTTTTTTTTTTTTTGTCAAAAATTTTTTTCATTTTTTAGAACGAGGCATTTGTCTACCAACAGTATCCTTGTGGTTACTGTTTGTTTACATAGAAGCTTCAGTCAGATTAAGAGAACTAAAGAGTTTGCCTTTCAATTTAGCCCTTTGTAGACCATTTGCAGCACATTGGTAAGTATTATGATTTCCTTAAGATTAATTTTTTTGTCAGTTTCAGTGTATTGAAATGTGATATTAAAAAAAAAATTAATTCTGCTAGTACTTAAAGTTAGGAGCAAACCTAACAATTCAATATAATCTTCCTGCTTCATATCAGTGCAAAACGTGAAACTGAGATGGTGAAATGAATTGCAAAGGTCATATTTCAATTGTATGTAGCCTGTGTTAAGTTCTTTGTAGAGAAAGATAGTTTTGGCAAGGATGAAATTAGGAAGTTTTCTAAGAAAAAATGACAGCAGATTGTGAAACAAAACTGTAAATAAGCAATAAAGTTTTTGCCAATAATTTTTTTTGTATATATTCACAAATAAATGAAAAGTTTTTGAAGAGTTTTTTTTTTATATGGCATGCTATTTTACAGTTGTCAAAATTTAATTTTCAAAAATACAATCTAAGCATGAATAAACTTTGTGAATTTTACAAAGGATACCCCCCTCCACGTTTTTGAGGATTTCTTTTTTTTTAACAAATAGTGTTTTTCACAATATTAGGTATTTTATAACTATTGGGGATAAAATATTAATGCAGTAACCTCTGAACGTTGGCCTAATTCTGAATAATTCTTTGCAGTCAGAAAAATTACTGTAATAATTTCAGAATATTTTGGGTGGATTGTAGTCAATCCTATACTATTCATCAAAAGGATACAATTACATTTAGTGAATATGAGGCAACTTAAAATATTCAGCCAAAACACCAATTTTATAGAATAATTATCCCTTTTAATTTAAAATCCACTTCCTGGTTGTTATCATTGTTGACATGTTACTATCAAAATTGAATTCCTTATTATCCCTTCAACTTCACATTATCTCCTGGAATGAAAACCTTGCACATTCATCCAGTTAATGAAAGACCTACTCTTCAACTCCATCACTAGTTTGGTTAGAATAAAGAAAATGTTAAAAGCAAGACATGTACCTGGTTCCAAAATAACCAACCCACTGCAATTGTCAAGTCTAGGTGCTTTTGATAATTTTTTCCTGTGAATTGAAATTTATCATTAAGCAAATTCTCTAAAGATTAAAATAAATATTTAATGGTGAAGTATTGATTGAATACAGTAGATGAATGAAAATTTCTCAGCTAATAATTTTGGTCTTGTCATCAATGAAAATGTTTTCCTTATTCCAGATTTTCATTGGTTGCTGCTATCATATAAGAGCAGTACTTGTTTGTGTTAATGGTTTGCTTCTCTACAATAAGCTTATGAGTTGAGGACTACTTTCCAATTGCTCCATATACACAACTACAACTTGTTTGAATGAAGACTAATCTATTATGGTCAATGGCCATTCATTTGACTTGACTAATGAGAAATAAAAGTAATGAATATGGACTCAAACAAGGTTCACTAAAAGTTTTAGATCTTTTTTGCTGATGGCATGTGGGGTGTTCAAAATTCTTCTAGCATTAAATAAAATGCATCAAGAGTTGGCAATAAAAGATAAAGGGAATATAAAACTAATGAAATTTTAACTGCTTCTTTAAATATACCAGGTAATGATTAGTATCCTACACACACACACACACACACACACACACACACACACACACACACACACACACGTGTGTGTGTGTGTGTTTATATTGTCTTTGATAGTCTTGAATTGACCTGGAGTGATAAGAGGATAGAGCTGATTTTACAAGACGAAAATAGTTATTTGTTTTTATGATCTTTATACATTACTTGTGAATTAAATTAACATTGAAAGTGGGCAAATTGTCACCGCTGTTTAAATTTTGTCACAATGCTTTTGTAAGGGAGATAACTTGGTTACTACCTGATTAAAATCCATTCCTTTTGAACAAATGCTGTATGCATTGATATGGCTCTATTTTCTTTTCTATATGCTTTGTCCCTTTAGGACGTTGTTGTAATGAAAATGTTTACATTTTTAAACAACTGTATCCGTCACAGAGTAGCATCCCCGCGCTATAAATTGTGACCAACATCAACTTAATCTGCAACAGGTTGTAACTTTATCCACTAACCATATCACCTCAGTTTTAATTCAGTCACAATGCTTTAATAAGGGAGATAACTTGGTTACTACTTGATTAAAATCTATTCAGTTTAAACAAACGCTGTATAAATAAATCATATGGCTCTATTTTTTCTACCTGTTGCATTGTGCTGTCAGTTTTGATACAAGGTTATAATTTTTACACTTTGATCTACCCTATTAGAATCTTTTCCGTTTGGGTTTTTTCTTTCAAAGTTTCTTTTTCTTTATTTTAATATTTTCATTAATGCTTGTTTCTTTGCAATTATTAGTTTGTTCAGAAAAGTTCTGATTTTAGAATAAACCTTGTAATTGTGTACTAATATATTATAATAGTTGCACAAAAGCATATTACGCATTCCTTAATGATTAAAGTGTCATCTTTGTTAATTTTATATCAAACACTTTCAGAATTTAACTTAAAACATTATCTACCCATTTCTACTTGAACATAAAAAAAGAGATGCATTTACATTTTTGCATAAGTGCAAGTTTGGCCATGATGCTGCCAATATTAACAGAACATAGGCTGAAGTTTCCACTTGATTGGACATTACAGTGCTGGTTTCTAAAGTTCCACAATGGTGATATGAGCCTTGAAGATTAAGGTGGCAGAGGACATCTATCTGCAATTGACAATCAGCATTTGAAAACACTACAAGCAACATCCATATTAAATGTCTCAGATAATGGGTGTCAGCATTTCAACAATATCAGACCATCTCAATTAGTAAGGTGAAAAAACTTGATAAATGGGTTCCACGTGAAATTCAAAGTTTGATGTTTTGAAATGCATTCGATGCTGCATCTGTGAAATTTAAATTATTCATTTCTTGATTGAATAGTGACTTGTGATGAGAAATGGATCCTTTATGACAACCGTAAACAATATGTTCAAAGGCTTGATCATGATGAAGCACCCAAACACTTTTCAAAACCAAGATTGCACCAGCAGAAGATTATGGTAACTCTCTGGTGATCCACCATTAGTGCTATCCATTACAGATTTCTGGAATTTGATCAAAACATCACTGCTGAAGTTTACTGTCAGCAACTGGATGAAATGCACGTTCATTTAAGCAAAATGTGATCCTCACTGGTTAATTGGCAAGGTTGAGTTCTATTTCATGACAATGCTTGGCCACATGTTGCCAAGATGACACTGTAGAAGCTCACTGACTTTGGATACAAGACTTTGCCACATTCACCATATTCCTTTGATCTCTTGCCCACTGACTACCACTTTCAAGCATCTTGAGAATTTTTTTAGGCCAAAAGACATTCCATAGTAAAGATGCAGAAATAGCATTTAAAGATTTCTTGCCATCTAAACATTTAGCCTTTTATTGTAAAGGCATAAACAACCTTGTAACATGATGGCAGAAATGTATAGATGTTCAGGGTTCCTATTTTGATTGATTTAAACACCGCTTAAATACATTAATTCAGGAATAAATGTTGATTCTAAAATTGGATGTTATTTTCTGAACACCCTAATAAATATTTAAATGCATATGTCCCATTTAATTTTCTCTACTTTTTTTTTTTTTTAGCATAGGCTACCCTGTGGTTACTTTGGGTTTTGGTTTTAAAAGTTATATATCTTACAGAATGCGCTTGGTAAGTGACATTTCCTTTTCATTATGTATTTATTTTTATTTTACTTAAAAAAATCATTGAAAGCAGCAATGAAGTCTTGAAGTAGATAAATGTTTTAGAATTTCAAATATTACAACCATAGAAAATTCTTTCCTTTCCTTTCAGATTGAAATTAATGAACCTGCATCATATCTTACTTTCAAACTTCTTTCATAATACTACTATTGAACAATCTTTCTCTGAACTGACAAAGCAATTGAATATAGGAATTGAACACAATACGAAAACTTTTTTTTTTTTTTAAATCAAAACACTTCACCTCATTTCAATATTTTCTTTGTAAATGGGTTTTATAATAAAAAAAATTAAACCAATTTTTAATTTTATATCTAACCAAATTAACTTTTTCAGCGCAAACAGAAAGAAGTCCAAAAAGCAAATGAATTTTATATTTTGCTTCTAATGAAAGCATTGCCTCCTGATGTTCAAAATACTTATTCAGAAAAACAGAAAGGTAAGACAAGTGTTTCTTTTCTTTTACTTTCATTATCTTTATTTAAAATATCTAATGGATTTTGTAATTTTAAGATAATTAATTCTTTCTTTATAATTGGCTGAAAGCATTTGATATTTTATCTGAAAATATTAATATTCTTTAGTAGAATGTTTTAGTTGAATAAAATTTATTCACATTTTGAAATGCTATCATTTAAATATTGATATATTTAAAAATATTAATACTGCTTTTGCCTATATATTTGAATTGCACACACAATGTGACATCTACTGGTGCATATTCAAAAATCTTTCCCTCTGTATTTGCATAATTAATAAGTACTATCCTGCCCCAATTATCTTAGTGTAGTAATAGGATTAATAATAAAAAGCAAACTTATGCAAAAATTATGGTTTTCTTAGTTAAAAAAAGAAATACAAAAAAACACAAAGGGGACCATAAGAAAGAATAGAAGTTTAATATTGCTTCGCCACTTGATTGGTGCCCGTTCAAGTTGCTCTGTTACATAGCTGTTTCCAGTGTTAGTCTTTACTGGCTAGTGTTTTTCATTAAGCCTTATCTCGTTGTCTAGCAGCTCTACCACAAAAATCAGATGAGGAAGTAATTGCAAATGGTGTTTCAGGAAAGAAATCCCACAAAACAGATAATGAAGACAAAGATAAAGGGAAACATTTTACAAAAAACACAGATGACGATGATGAGGATGAATATGAATATATTGAGCAGCCATTGTCTAAAAAATCCAATGTAAATGATTATGATGAAAGTGCAGAGAATGAACAGCATACAAAAACATATAAATCCAACACTGTGAACAAATCACAAGGAAACAAATTAAACAGTAATAAAGAAAATAACTCCAAGAAAGGAAAAAATTATAGCAAAGACATCTCGCCATCAACATTCAATAACAACAAAGATGAAATTATAGGCCGGTAAGTAATCTCTTTATTTTTCTTTATGCTTTTGATGTCTTTTCTGAAAAATCTGTAAATAATATATTGCTACAAGGGTGAATCAATATGTTCACAACATTACATGTAATTAGATTATATTAAAAAATGTGTAACAATTTTTTTTTTTTTTTTTTTTCTCTGTGTTACCACATACAGTGCAGAAAAATTCTTGGGCATGATCGAAAGGGACTTAAAAAAGGGCTGGTATTTTTGTCATTTATTTGCATTATATAATATAAAAAAAAACATCAAAACAATTTCGGAATATTTTCATGCCATTCTAAAATGCTTTAATTATAAAGTTCTTAGCATCTTGCTGAGCAAGTATTTTTTTTTTCTAGTTTTAACCTCTGAATTTTACAATTATGGGAATTCTTTATACCTTGTCACTTCAATTTGCTGTTTATAATGTAGGATTTGATATCCTGATTTTTTTTTTTTTTTTTTTTTTTAGCATTATTAATTTTATAAATTATAAAAATAGGAATCTTATTTTTAACAATTCAAAATTAACCATATACATAATAGGAAACAGTAATATTTGTATTAACTTTTCACATGAAGTTATATTCAGAATCTGATATTCATTGCTTTGAGAGTAAAGTGATGGCAGATATTGAATCAAAAAATAAAACTTATGATCTCTTTGAGAGAAGATGAGGGGATTGGCATGTCACCTGAAGATGATTAAAGAATTTGATGTTCCAATCAAAACATTCAATAACTTCTAAAAAGAAATTTCAGTTCTTTAATTCAGTGTTTTCAGTTTTTTGTAGATAATTTTAAATATGTGCATAAAAATGTACAAATGAAAAATAATCTGAAAATATTTCTTATTCTTTGCTTATTGACTGTCTATGACTTTGCAGCTTAGAAAATGATGTTAAGCGCCTTAAGGCCGACCTTCAGTCCAGCCGTAATACTGAACAGGAATTGCGTACACAAATAGCAAACATGTCCATATCTGAAAAGTCAATGCGATCAGAACTTTATCAGCTCCAGCAAGACAATGAAAATTTACAGAACAAGTAAGTTGGGCATTTATTTCCTTTTTTATTAACCATAATCAGTCATGTATGTAGAACTGATTTCACTTCAGTTAATTTTGACTCTCTTGCTATTACCAAATAAGTGCAAGCTTTGCTTTATAAACATGCCTTTCTAAACTGACTTCTCCATCTTACATCTTTAAACATCATCAAACATCGTATATAAACCATATTTTTCTGTATTAGAGAAACATTTTGATATAAAACAAATATGTATATTAAACCAACCATTTGTTTTAAGTTATTCCATGTCAGCATTTGAGATATTAACTCTATTATTTTGCCTTATATTCTCCAGACACATAACCTTTGAGTAATCCATGTCTTTTTATAAATTTACCTTTTATATTCACTTAATCAAACCATTAATTCATTCTACTTGGCAAAACATTTTACTTTATTACTTATAGTATGTTGATAGTTGTTGAATTGATAATAATTAAAATAAAGATTAATTACCCAGTTATTTCCCCCTCAATATACTAATAATTTCCTATCTTGTGTTTATACTCTTAATTACTTTATTAATCAATAAAATGACATTTAAGTATTTTTATGCAAAATATACTATGTCAATTGTTAAACTGTGATTTTGTGTTTGCATTGCTCTCCTCTTTCTTTTATCAAATTGATTTCTTTTTTTTTTTTTTTTTTTTTTAACTTGTTTACAGACTACACAATTTGGTGACCAGCAGACAGCAAGATAAACAAAATATTTCCATCTTAGAACGCAAGCTACAAGATGCTTGCAAAAATAAATGTGTTGTTGAACAGCAATTGGCTTCAGAACGTAAAGCTAAGAAAGCAGAAGAATCAGCAGCAGCCCGAGCAGTGTTAATGGCAGCAGCAAGGTAAATAGAAAAGTCTTAAAATTGGCTTTGTACTTCACCTTGTACAAATGATGCTTCATTAGTGTGCTTTTTGTGACACCTGTTGACATCCATAGCATTGATTTGACAGATGCAGTAATTGTGCTGTATTAATACATAATATGAACACAACATACACACGCGCTTATAGTACAGTTCAAAATTTTGAAGCCACCCTCAGAATTAGCATGGGATGACTTGACAGAAGAGTGGAAAAAAAAAAAAGGCCTTAGTCATTGAAAAAAAGAATGGAATCAAAAAATTATCAAACTTTGAGAAACTTTTACAATAAATAACAAAATTTGTGCTGCAGTAATCAAGGCTAAAGGAGGATATTTTGATGAGAGCAAAATTTAATCATAAAAATTTTTTTTATTTCTTTTGTTATAACAAAATTTCTAATTAAAAAAAAAAAAATCAAGTCTGACTTTTTCTTTTAACCATGTATAATAATTTTCTTTTATTTAAAGTACAAAACAACTACTTTTTGAGTCCATTTAAAAAATTACCATGGGTTACCTCAAACTTTTTGAAGTCTACATATATATATATATATATATATATATATATATATATATATATATATATATATTCGATTCTCCTGTCAAATTCAACATGAGGATCAAGCAGTTTAGTTCCCAGGGAACTGACACCAGCACCAGATTTGATTATAGTGGTGAAGGTTTTGTGCAGAGCCATCCACATTTTTTGAAAGGCCGAATATAGAGACCTGGTGCACTATGTGCCACAAAGTTCTCCAAACAACCCTTAGCAGGTCTTCAATTCAGAGTTGTCCTTCTCCTAGTCCAGTTGACATACAAGGCTACAGAACCCAGACTGTCCTGCTATCTACCCATAGCTGGAGGGAGAAGATTAATACTTTTCCCAAGAGTATTAGCACGTAAGTGGATGTAATGGATTTGACTGAAATTCGAACTCAGCTCCCCGATTCCTTAATCCAAGCCACTATCCATTACGTCACCGTGCCTCCTTTTTTTATATATATATATATATATATATATATATATATATATATGCATTCTGAAGTGTTGAAAATTTATTGGCACTTAAAAAACGTTTTACTACTTTATGCACATTACTAGAGTTTGAATGAATTGAAATCAAAGTAAACATCAAATTTGATCATTTTAAATTTTTACATTGTTAACCTTGTCTATTTTCACTTTATATTTTATATATATATATATATATATATATATATATATATATATATTTTATATATATAAATATATAAGATTTTTTTGTTATAAATCATTTATGCTATATTCATGTCTTGAATTTGAAAAATAATTTTAGAGAAGAATGTAATGAAAATTGCAAAGCCAGACGTCGAGATACAGAAAATGATTTGAAGCAGCTTCGAAGAGATTTAAAAATTCGTGAAGAACAGTTTCGACAGCTAGAAAGAGAGGTACAGGTATGTAGCAATATTTTGTTTTTGAGGTTTGTTGAAAAACAAATTCTCTTTATTTGTAAATCTTGCACAATCCAAAAATGTTTATTCTTAACTGAAAATAAAACGTTCTATTTGTAGTTCAGGACACCTGTCATTTCAAAATAAAATGCGAGAGCGGGTGCTCATTTTAAACAGTGACTGATTTTTCTGTGTTACCCTTCACTGATAGCAGGTCATTTAAAAAAGAAATCCTGTAACAGGTGCTGAATATGTTGGTGCAATATTGAGGGTGAGAAGAAATAAATGTAAACCCAGTTCTGTAAAATTTGAACACCTCTATTTTGATATTTGAAAGCAAAGGCATGTTCATGCAGAAGAGATACTTGCCAGGAAGGGTTAGGAATTAAAAAAAAAAAAAAAAAAAAATTAAACAAAGGCAAGTTCTATTGGATTTATTTTGAGTTTTCTATCTGGATAAAAAGCAATTTTAGTTTATACAATGATAAAAATGTTTTGTTCCACTAAGCAAATGATTTTTTTTTTTCTTGTCTCCCTAATCTAAATCTGAAAAACTGTTTACCTTTTGAATAAAATTTAAACATAATGAATCAGATGTTGCCATTTTTACTTTGTCTATTGTAAGAAAAAGAAAAAAAAATTTCAAAAATTATTGACAGCCTCCAGACGTTTTCATGCACACACATATCAAAAGCTTTGAATTCTGTATTTATATTACATTTTACTAAAATGTTTTTCAGAGTCTTCGTCAATATAAAGAAAGCCAAGGAGAATCAGAAATTTTAATGTCAGCACTGGCAGCCATGCAAGACAAAAATACACATCTTGAAAACAGTCTAAGTGCAGAGACACGGTTAAAATTAGACCTTTTTTCAGCACTAGGTGAAGCCAAGCGAGAAATCGAGATACTGAAAAGTAAGTATAAATTATAATCAAACTAAAATTATTCATGATTTCATAGTATGAATGATTACCATTTATTTGTAACTTATAATTTCATATTTTTAATTAAGTTTTATAAATATCACTAATAAGGAAACATTTTTGTGATTTAGTTTTGCTGTTTCTGATTTTTTATAACTTTTCATTTTGGCTCTTTTAGAAACATGTGGAAGGCTTAAAAACTGTACATGCTATTTTTAACTGTCTAAATACCTTGTGCAAAATTTATTCTTGCTCTTGTAGTTAATCAGATAGTGATGAAGGCAGTGAAAGTACATATTGTCTTGAAACCAATATGTCAATAATAGCAAAATATCCTGTCCCAAGAGATTTTTAAACTACAAATTAAAAATCATACTTTCAGCAAAACAAACTGGTATAAAATTAATGTTTCACTTCACTATCTTTTCCTACAAAAAACTGCTTAGATATCAGAAATTCTCTAGAATTTCAAGAGATTTGTAGTTGTGGAAGCCTTTTATTTCTTAAAATGTATTTATAATCTATTAATCTTAATTTTAAAAAATTAAATTCATTTAAAACTTTATGTAATTAAGATTGTATCAGATGATTCACATTTGTTGTTCTTATGGCTTTAATATTGCCGTGGCAGGCCCTTGAAAGAGATTAAGAATATAATAGTTCAAAAGTAAAGCAAATATTTTCATATAGTGTTTAATATTAAAATCATATTAAAAATAGAGCATTTAATAATTTCCCATTTAACTTTAGTTTTTTTTTTTTTTTTTTTTTTGTTTACCAAAAAATAAGTATCCCTATATAATATTAGCAATAGGAACTGTAGACTTTGTTTAGAAGAAAAATTATCAACTTTTAATAATTATTAAATAAGAAGAATGAAATAATGGGTTGATGCTGACATATTAACAAATATTTACTTTGTTACTTTAATAATATAACAATACAACATAAAATATTATAATTTAATTAATAATGTAATATAACTTCAATACAAACCATACAAAAATTGATATTTACAGTTAATTTTTCTGTAATATTTTATATATATATATATATATATATATATATATATTAGAGAAGAGGCCACAAACGTTTTTGGCTATAATATGGATTTTTTTTTTTTTTTTTGTACATTATACTTTATATATTCTTTGCTACATGTTTTTCAGGTTTTGTGACCTTCATCAGGCAATGATTGATTATTTTCACATATTATTTAAAGGAATTAATTTTTTCTGATGTTTAGTCTTTTAAACATTGTCTTTTGTGTGTAGTAGTAATACAAACTCCTCTTGGACTAGTAGAAGAATAGTGCTGAAAAGTTCCTAACTCAGCTAAGATGAAAATCAAAAACAAATTCTGATATTTGGCAAGATTTTGGGAAGTAATTCAAGCCTAGAACTTTTCAACACATCCTTTTTATGTGTGATATATACATAATCTTAATATCATAGAAGCTTACAGCCATATCACATTGAAACACTGGTTCCCATGCAATCACCGAAGTTAAGCAACATTGAGTTTGGTCAGTACCTAGATGGATGACTGTTTGATAATACCAGTGCTGTAAACTTGGATGTGCAGGTGGTGTAATAGATGATGGCTTGTAATTGTTAATTAGAGAGCCAAATTTCAATTCCATTTGGGTTAGTTGTATTCAATCTATTCTCCCCACAGCTATGGGTTAATTAGTAAGACTTGTATCCCTAAATTATCTTACAATCTAAAAATATTTTCTGGCTTTAAATAACGTGCAGATAGTTGATAATCCATAGAAAATCAATCAATCAATCCCTCATTAACATTATAGCTGTTAAATTTCTGTTTTTTTAAATGATTTGTATGATTCTTCTAATGATATTTTCCCAAAAAAAGTTTTGAAATTGATTATGGTGTTATTTGCTGAAAGGTTTTGTATATCCTCTTAAATTCTCAACACTATATCATACTTTTCAAAAATTCATTTTGTTTAATGATTAATATTCATTTGAACTCTCTCTCTCTCTCTCTCTCTCTCTTATTCAGATGTTGTACAGAAAAAAGATTTTGAGATTAAAGACATAAAATCCCGAATGGCAGAGACTATGGCTCTGTTACCCAGCACCAACACATACAATGGACTTGGTTCCACAGATTCTTCCCCACTCTTCTCCAGCAAGTTTGCCAAGGAAGATGTCATTGTTAAATCAAACCTGAATCCTCATGCCAAAGATTACGCCCCCAAAACGACCATTTGAGCCAGTTGGACTTCCCCTATCAGTTGGCGGCCCTCCTCTTTCTCTCTTCCTTCTCCTTTTCCCCTTTATTCTCACTGCTGACTGCAGATCTGAGTCAGCAGCTCCACTCTGACTTGTCAAATACATACCATGCTATTATTTGTTTGCCTGCCTGCCATCAGTTGACCAGTGATGTGCATTCTATGATCTTAGAATTTATTTTTTCTCTATTCAGTGGCATTGTCATTAGGAATGATCATTGCCAGGCAGCCTGCTTCACTGATAAGTAGGCTGCCCTCAGATGTTTCTGACTAGCTTCAGTGCAGATTGGTGCTACCTGTGTTTGCTGTTCACTTTCTACTACACAATAGTTTCGTGATGCCTGCCACAAACTTACACCCTCTCTTTGGTCTATTCTTTCCACTCTCTCTTACCTCACCTTTTTAAGCTTGTTTTCTTTCAGCTTTCTGTTTCTCCCTGTCTGTCTCCTCGCTTTGTCCTGCTAAAACAAGAGGCTTTTCAGCAGTTTGCCACGATTAGTTACAGCCATAATAGCTGTAGAAAGCAGTTGGTATTTTTTTACTTAGTACTTTAATTTACCTTTAAACTTAACTATTTTTACACTAATTATAAGCTATGGGCATGTTTTTGCTGTATTTTCAGACTTTCTCTATTTTCTTCAATGATCAAGTTTAACTGTATTAGACCATTTTTTTTTTTTTTTTTCATGTTCATAGAAACTTCATAAAAGTAAATTTTAGATTAACAAAACCATAAGTTTCTTTTGTCTCTTAATTTGTTTGGAAATTAGTTTAAATTTTGTAAGTTGAATCTGGTTTTTAAATTTTACCATTTAATCAGATGATAGCTTATTTAAATAAAGTGTTTAACATTTAGAAATTTCTGGTTACTATTAAGATTCTTGATAAATTTACTAAAATTTGAATCGGATTTTTATTATATAATGGATTGTGTAAGAGTGCAGGTTTCCTTTTCTTTTTATTATTTTAGCTTTTAACTATAAATTAACTTCGGCAAGTAGTTTTGCTGTTTCATGTAAAGAAAAAAAAATTGATATTAAAACTAAAATCAACTTTGAGCTATTAAGATGTCTTAAATATTTAATACAATCAGAATGCCAACATGTGATCTCTCAAGCAAAGTCAATTGAAAATAGATAGAATATTCATTAAGTAAAATTTGGATATTTTCAAGTTTGTTCATTAAATTGACTTTCTAATATTTTTCATATCAGAAACTTCATTATACCAAATTAATAAACAAAAAAAAACCCTTCCGTCCACTCAAACTTTGCATATGTTTCTATTTTCCAAATCCCGCCACTATAAAAGTTTTATCTTTTTATCAATTTAGATAACATTTAAATTCACTTAAATTAGCTTTTAATTAGCAATACTAAAAAGAAAACAATATAGATGCTTTGTGTTTGATTTCAATAAGTGAATTTTTACTATTACAATTCTAACCTTTTTGATTAAATCTTAATTTTTTTTTTTTTTCATTTTAGAGTTATACATTTTTTGTTGTGATTATAACTGAATACTGATCTATAGATTCACTTTGAGCTGTTTCTAGAAATTTCATTTTTTTTTTAACCCCCCCTCCAGTAAAACAACTGAACCAACCTTCCCACTCATCCCCTTTGCATGTTGGTCAGTCAAAAAAAAAAGTTGCACATAAGATATTGAGATAAGTGGATATTTATATTGTTAAACCAGTTTCTTTTGTGCAGTTAAGTGGTATATATTAATTTGAAATAAGTCAGTGGATTTATAAAAATTTACATATCTTTTTACTCAAGGTTGACTTTTCTGTTGCATATCACTAAATAAGCAAACAAAAAAAATGTTAAACTTTATTATTTTGTTTTTGTTACTTCAAAAATTGTGAACATAATTTGAGAGATGGAAGAATCGTAAACTATTATATTTATATAATTTTATAAGACAAATTGATTAAGTTTTATTGAATTTATATCTTGTTTCCTTATTTTTTTTTTTTTAGTCTAGGCAATGAAAAAGTTGTTTTTAAAAATAACTACAGTAACAATAGCAGCAGTACAGAAGGAAAAACACTTATAAATTCAAATATTCATTTCAGATCTTACCACATGGCAATTTAATTTATTTTTTCATTGATTAAATTTAGTTTTATCTAAAGGATCTAATAAATTTTGATCTATTTTGCAAGAATTGTAATTAGAAAAAAATAACTCTTCCTGCCTTCCCACTTTTTTTTTTTTTTTCTTTTCTCTCGAATATTTCAATTTTTAATTGGATATAAAGTTCCAGGCCTGCCTTTCATTTGGTAACTCATTTCTACTTCTATTATTGGTGCCAATTTCTTATTACTTTATAATTTTTTTTACAATTTTGCCAATTTCAGGATTGGATTACACACTGGAAAACTTTTCTGTAATTGGCTGCTGAGAAATCAGAATCTCACTTAGTCCATACAATAATGATCTCCAACATCCAATTTTCTCTTACTTTTTCACACAGATGCACATTACAACTTCTGTTTGATACTCACAAATTTCATTTTCTTATGTTGAACTAACAAATGAAAATTTTCAAAGTTCATCACTTTATATAAAATGTCATATTTTTTTATTAATTTTTCTATCTTAGGCATATTCATGAAACAAATCTTTAAATACTGCATATGAAAAATATTACCAAATGATCCCTTTTAAAGTGTGATTAATTGGCCCTGGCTGACTAGATTCTACTTTAACACAAAAAGTTGCTGCTCAACAATAGGCATTTTCAGCTAGATTTTTTTTTTTAATTTGTAACTCATTTTATTTATAAATTAACAAATTATCTGAAAACTAAGACTTCTGTCTTTTTATATACAATAGTGAGCTTTAAATATTTAATGGAAATGTCTTTTCTTTCTTTCTTCTCTTTTCTATAGGAGCTGTTATAAAAGTTTATATATTGTTATGCCTCTTCCAGATTTATTAAACTATGCAAAGTGGCAATATATTCACTTTTGGCCTACTTCAGCATTTTCTTGATTCCATTCAGATTTACATTAGAGAAACTTGTTTTTAATTAATTTCCAGTGTAAATTTCTATTTTAATTTTTGTTGGCTATTGTTCCCTTCCACCATAAAGTTTGTAGCAAGCAAACTAGGCAATATCAAATATTTATACAAAGTACACATTCACAGGCAAACTGCTGAGCAAGGCTGGCTGGCAAATTGAAACCTTGAATAACCCTAAATATATTTGTGGCAAAAAAATGTTGCTTCATCTAGTTCTATGTATTTTGTTTTTCAGCATTACAAAATATTTTGAAAAATATATTAAACAAAACAAAAATTGCAATTGGCAAAGATGAGGGGCTTTTATGAACTGTCTCAGCTACCTGCCTGCCTACCTTACCTATTTACCTACCTACCTACCTGCCCGCCCGCCTATCTGTTTGCCTGCCCCTGGCTTTTAATGACACTGACCATAGTCACTTGCCTCCTGCCGGATGGTCTCTATCTATGAGTAGCTTCCTATGATGTTACTCCAGAGCTGATTACCACATTCAATAAAATAAGGCATTCTCCATGTGCAATTAAAGACTGCTTTTGTTATCATTTCCCTATATGCACACACACATATATGTATGTTGAATATTATTGAAAGTATCTTTCTTTTTTTTATAAAAATTTTCAGAGTAACAAAATCACTTGAGTATTCATTACTCATTGCATACTGTTGGTCAAGAATGGAACAATGGGTATTTTTCAGTGTGCAGAGGACAAAATGAAAATCTGGTACAAATTTTACAAAGTGTATGTTAATGTCCTTTGGTGTTGAATGTCTTAAATCTTATACTATGCCAAGTGTAGATTTTACAAATAAAATCTACTTTTAGCAATCTATTGTAATGAGATTAACCTTATAAGTTTAATGTGAAAAGCTTAGAAGGCAAATTAAGTAGGATTTTGCAAGAATTACTTAGATTGGCAAGAGGTTTTTTATTATTATTAGAAAATAAAGTTTATTTAGAGATGAGAATGAAGACAGCCAATTTTTTTAAAAACCCAAAATTGGAACTTGTTTTAATAAAAAATCAAGAGCTTAGATAGCAGAAGCCAATATACACACTTGAGTGACTATCCTTGCTCCTATCTATTTCTCTCAAAGAAAAGCATAATTCTGGAAGTACTTTTCATGAACTTTAAAATTTCATTGACAAAGAACTCCGATGAAGGAAAAATAATTTTGACAAATGATTATGAGCACATTGTTATTTTTTTTCTTAACCTGAGGAGGGAAAAAAGTTCTTTACTGGGAAATTAAAGTCCTCTTGAATCTTCAGATAAGTGTGTGTGTGTGTGTTTTTTTATTTACACACACACACACACACATTGTTCCAAATGATGGGATGTTCAGATGACATGAAGCACAATCCTGCTTTGTTGATTAATGGTAAAGAATTGAGACAAAAGACATGGCAAAATCCATATTTAAGATAATATGCAAACTGATTAAATTCATCAAAACATGAAGAGGCCCACCTTCAGTTGATATTGGAATTGGGGATATCAGCAAACCTAATTAATGTACTGCCTGGTGACTCCTTATTCTGTCTTCTCCATGATGCTCTGTTCAGCTGAAGAAATGCTAAGAACAGGAAAATCCTATTGAGTCATAAGTAATTTCTCTTTAGAGGAACCAATTGTAATGACTAATAGATCATTCTCTTTGGATATCATCACAGATAACATTTTCAAAATGCTTAATGTCTACCATCCCAGGAGATAGATATATATATATATATATATCTATCTAATTTTTTTTTCCCCTCCTTATTCTGTCATCACCCCTTTACTTGTTTTGTGGTGATGGATTTAGTTGTAAATCTATCATGGGTGTCAGGGGACTTTTTTTTTTTTTTTTTTTCTTTGCTGGTTTGTCAAACTTAACAACAGTTACAAAGTGGACAAAATAAACATAAAAATAACAGTAGAAATACATTCCTGAGCTATCCAAATTAAAAGTAAAATTAAGTGTCAGATACATTTAAAGGCTCCTGTACAAATTCTGGTTCAGCATCTCAAGTTGGGGTGAAATGATTTAAAAAAATAAAAATAATAAATAAATAATCGTTTTTTAAATATAGAACTGATGCAAAATGGATTACATACAAAATGTTCAAAGCAAAAGACACTGAACTGACAATGATAAATCTCTCTAACCAACCCTGAAAGTTGAGCTTCATAGAACAAAGGTAATGTTTGTCTGTGGGGGGAGAGCAGTATTGTTCATTTCTTATTTCAGAAATATGATACATTTTCAAAAATTCATGTGAAGCTATTTATCAGGGGATTTTTTTTTTTTTTTTGTTAATCCTTAACTTCAAATTATTCTCCCTTATTTAAGAGCCATAATGTTACACTAAAGTCTCTTTCTGCACATATTGAGCCATGAGGCTAAAACCTTAACATTCTAGGAGTATCTGAAATTTGATGGATAAACAG